TAACAGCTCCAAGCCAAGCAAATAATCTCCTAAAAGAATTTTTGGCTAAAATGTCACTGTACCTTGTTGCTGATTGCAGAATTTGGGGATTTTGAGACATGCCTGGCAGCAGCACTTTCAGAGCCTGCAGCATCCCCAAACATCTCCGATGGCTGCATGGCCTGCTTCATGCCCAAGGTGGATATTTGGGATGCTGGGTCCCTGGGGCTGGATCACAGGGGCAGGTCAGAATCTCTGAGCTCAGAGAGGCAAGGTTTGCTGCTTTTCTGTGTGTTCCACGCTGTGCCCAGCTGACAGGACAAATACTGACTTTGCTGCTTGAGTGTGAGCTCAGAGATCCCTGGGTTGGGTTGAAATTATGTCTCAGATTTACAACCCATATATAGCTTGTGATACAGCCAAAAAACTGTTATGGACACTGCAGGATCAATGCTAGAGGTGCAGGTGAATGCTCTCTCAAATAACTGTGGGAAACAAAATAAATCTTAGTTTTGCTGCCTCAGTAAAATAAAATTGTCAAGGTATTTAACTCTCTGCCAGGAGTCTCCATTGAAAGCAGCGAAATCCAAAGTGATCTCAACACTCAGGTATTGCAGCACACTTGCATATCCAGTGTAAAAAACTTTGGGTTCCTTGAGCTGGGAAAAATATCTTTAATTTAGATGATATATAATCATTTCTTATTAGAGGTTTAACTTGGTTAAGTATAATCAGGTAGCTATTGTATAATTTAAATGGCCACTGATTGTTATTTGATAATAACAACTTACATTTATATAGTGCTGTATATCCCAAAGGGATCCCAGATGATTTTAGTCTCAACAATAAAATGCACAACAAAGTGAAACATTAATATCCTCATCTTTTCTAGTAATGCTGTAATTGTATTTAAAAATCTAGCTGTCTGTGGCTTGCTTCTGCTCTCCTTTGAATTCATTAGCCAAGCTCACCCAGAGTGCAAATGGAATATTAGCGCTTCTTCCATATCTGATCTGAGAAATGTTCTGTGCAAGTACCTTCTCTGTACTGGGAGGGCAGTAAAGGGTGTAAATACCCTTCTGTTATTTTAGGAGTCTCTTGAGGGGCCTGAATTCCTCCCTCTCTTGTTTGGGTGGTTGCTGTACACCCTCAGGATGGTTTCTTGTCAGAAGGGAGGAGGCTAAACAAATGCCACACGCCTGCAACATCAGAGTGGGAAGTCAGACAGTATTTTGTACAAAGAGTTCTTTTTTTCACATAGAACTCTTGAAACAGTCTAAAATTCAGCCCTGTTACAGTCATTTTTGGGTGAGCAGGGCAGTTTGTGCCTCCTGAGCTGCTCTTCCAGGCTTTTGCACGTTTGAATTTTGTCAAGCACTGGAGCAGGGTGCCCAGGGAAATACTGGAGTCACCATCCCCTGAGGCTCTTCCAGGATGTGCAGCCATGGCCCTTAAGGTCAGGGTTTAGTGGTGGATTGGCAGGGTTAGACCTGAGTCCAGTCCTAAACCTTCAGGGTCCTTCCCAGCCCAAGTGATTCTGTGATTCCAAGGGCCCAGCTTTGTTCTTGCACTGCTGAAATTCACATTCAGTGCTGGAGGAGGTGCAGACCTGAGGGATGCTCTCGAGTCCTGCTGCAGCTGGCACTGCCCAGACAGGAGGCATGGACACAGTCCCTGCCCTTTGCAGGCTGCTGTAAAGGACTTAAAACCATAAAAATGAGAGCCACAGACTTGTTTGGGAGGGGAATGGCTGACCACATTCATGATGATCACAAAAACAGAGCCAGGAACGCAAAAGTGTATTTGTGGATGGGTAATATAGGTCACTTGCTTTGTCATGTTTCTTTTCTAATGTCTAATAAATTGTAGTCTAGTTCTGAAATATTTCCAGAACCTCTGAATTAATGTTGCATTATGGAGTGTTTTCAACTGCTGAGGCAAGTTGTTTGCACCTGAAGATAAAGACTTATTGTTAGTAAACATAAATTTGGGACTATGCAAAATGATGTAACTACTTTTTTTTACTTGTTTGCCAGAGTCCTTGTTCACTGAGATGGTTTTCCATTTCTGAAAATATTAATTTATCCCTGCCTTTTCACAACATATGAAAACAGTCTACTTGGAATAATTTAGTCTTAAAACCATAGTTCTTTCTCAATATCTGAGCTTTTCTTTAGTTTCTGTTTTAACATTCAGAATGATTGTGTGAAAGTTGTTTGCAGATACTGCCTTGTTTTTCAGATTTGTAATGAAGCATGAGGGATTTTTACATTTTGTGGCAAAAGTTTTGCATGGGTCTTACTGTGAAGCTTTCACAATGTCTTTAAGTTGTTTTATTTTTGGGAGATGGAAGAAAGACAAATAGTGACTTAGAGACAAGTTTTTCTGCTCCATTTCCTCTATGTAGCAGATGATAAATCTCAAGTACAAATGGTGCTACACCCAAGACGCTGAGCTCTAATTTTTGGTCCTACACACACTGGTGGCCTATTTACTAATCTATAATCACCAATAAATTTGCTGTAATGTAGTTATAAATCTCCTGTAATATAGTTATAAATTTGCTGTAATATGGTTAAAGCCTGATTCTGAGTGACATTGAGCGCACACTTTCAAATAAAGGTGGACCTTCTGAAATTCCTTTCCATGCTGTTGTGGACTATACCTTTGCTGGCACCATTAAAACCAAGCACTGGGAATCAGAACTGCCTGGGAAGTGCTGTGAAAATGTTGTTTCTTTCTGAAACTGTATTTAAGAGCAGGGTTAATAATGATGATAATAATAATAATAATAGCACTTGTTGTCATTAGACCGTGGAAGAGGATGCAAGTCTTTTCCAAGCTGGACAGTGTCTCTTGTGTCCTATTCTGTTCAACACAAGCCTGTTGTAAATGTTCATAGCCTAAAGACAAATTGCCCTTCCATATGGGAAGTGTAGTTTCTCACTTTGTAGAAAAACTCCCTCCTGTTTCTAGTTAAAGTTAAACATTTTGAAAATTCTGGATAGATCCTACTGGACTAGAATCCAGCCAAGGACATCATCTTCTCTGGAAAGAAATCAGTATTCTTCCTTAAAGGCACTTGAATTTTTTTTTTTTTTAATATATTAAGACATTTCTCAAAAGAAAAAAGTTTAAACGTGTCTTTTTTTTAAAATGGTCTCATTATTAGTTGGAGTTTCAGGGCTGAACTAGTAATTACTAATCAAAGTTTACCTGTGGGAGCAGAAACTAGATGGAACCTTATTTCACTTATTTAAACATAAATCTCTACAATTTGAGATTAAATAGGTTTCCCCAGGTTACCAGCAGTACCCTTCTCTGTGCCTGTAGGCCATCCACTAAAAAGTGAAAAAATGCATGTACATGCTGGGGACAGAGATGTCACAAAAATGTGACTGGCATTGTTACACATTGGTGGATTTTGTGGAGCCAGCATGGAAATGAGGGACAGACTGGATGGAATAATTTCTTTATTTGTAATAAAATGGATTATCTTCAAGTAATTTGAAATCCCAGTGGTGAGGACTTGGGTACAATATCAGCATTGCAGTGCTTTTAGAGGGAAACTAGAAGTAAATAAAAGAAAGATTTACTTGAGTCGGAGCTCTAATTTTTATGAAGGTTTGTGGTTTTAGAACAGAGAGTGACATGACATAAGGAATGGCAGTGCATTAGTGAAAGTAGGTGTCTGAAAGAAACTAGTCTGTGTTTGTGGGAGCATGAAACTGTTGAAAAGAAACTGCTACTTTCACACTGTCGCATGAAACTCCCGACGAGCCTGGCAGTGAGGCGTGGAGAAACTCTCCCTTGTTTGTCCGAGAAAAATAGTGCATGCAGGAAAAAATACTATAAATGGCTCTGGGCTTAGTTTCTGTAGTGTTTGATAACAGTCTTTAGGATCTAAATGAGAGCAGGAATGAAAGTCCTGGGATTTTGTTATGAAAACTCTTTTCAAAATAATTTTACAAAACACCTTTAAAATGTTGGTGAAATCTGTTAGAACTAATCTCAGGAGTGGGAATAACTGTGAGTTATTATCACTGCAAATTCTATAAAGCATCTCCTTTGTATATGTTTATAGCATGCAGAAAATATAAATAACAGCTGATTAGCAGTCTAGAGTGAGAGCTCTGTTTTCTCCCATATTGGATAAATCTCCTACTGATGGATCAAACATTTAATCAATGTGGTAGCATGGCCTTCAGCACTATAGTATCTGAGTGCCTCCCAGTGTTGGAACGCTCAATAAGGCTTGGTTTGTCTCCAGTTACTCTGTGCTCCTTAATTTGATTTTGTTCTTAGTTACACTGATGTAAATCTAAAACTGCTCTGCTGATATTGAGAGAGGAAGCCACCATTTATGAGCCTGAAAGCAAAATCTGTCCTTCCCCGTTTGCAATTCCTCAGCTGTTCTTAAGTTGTACTATTAATAATATTTATTTGACTTATTAATCTGCTCCCTCATTTATTTCCCCCGGTCCTGCTGCACCTTTTTTTTTTTCTGCCACTTTGGGTGTGATCCAAAGTCCCCTGAAGTGGCTGTCAGTCCAGCTATGGATTTCAGCTGACTCGGGCTCAGTTTCCCACTTTCCCTCCCTGCTTTTATCCCCGCTGCCGCTCCTGAAGGGTTCTGTGTGAGTCTGTGGTCTGATTAATTAAAGTTACATGTATTCCTACAGTTTTGTGAATAAGCACCTTGCTGTACAGGAATCCTAATCCCCAAATTTGCCTTTAATACCCACTGCTTCCCTCAGCTTAGTTTTCCTTTCATCAGAGCTCCCTTTCCTCCTCGTGCCACAGGTGTTGGTCTGAGGTTCAGCATCTCACATTTTAGGGGGAGCTTTGCAATGAGCCTGCTCTGAGTTCTGTAGAAAACTCAGCAGAAAAACCCCCGGAAACTTTCCTGAGATTTTTGCTCAGGACACTTGTAGTAAATATGGGAAGGGCTTTGAATGAGATAGTTGTGACTTGTCCTTTGATTATGTTTTTTTCCTTTTCTTTCCCCTTGCTGCCATCAGCGCTTGGAAGCAGAAGGAAGCAAAGAGGAGTTGAGAACTGAAGCTGGGAGACTTGGCAGGTAAGAGGTGTGTTTGTTCCTTGCCAGGGAGGTGTTTCTGGAGGTGCTGATGTGGGTTGGCAGGGCTGGCTCTGCTCTGGGGGATGAGCCTGGTCCAGGGCTGGCACGGTCCAGCTGAGTTCCTTGAGCCTTCAGTCTTTGTGTGCCAAAGGCTTTGCTTTGCTGGTCCCTCACCTGCAGCAGGGGCAGAAAGGCTTCCCTGTGGCAGGAGGAGAAATGCATTTTATTGAGAGAAATTCAGGAAGGGCTGGGGAGTAAGGAGCTGGTGTAAAGAGCTGCTTGGACAAAGGTGCCTGGTTTGAGGGTAGCAGCTGCGCTGTGTGCACAGCTGGGCTGGTGTTTGCATTATTTCAAGAAATGTTTTGCTAAGGGACTCGTGTGCTATCTGTAACTTCACTGCCTTATCTCCTTTGAAGCCTCGTTTGATTACTTTACTCTCATTTCCTGTTCTACATGCCTTTAAATGGGGTGAAGGTGAAATACAGTATAAGCAAGATCCAGCACTTGCTTTCACATAAAAACCTCGCTGAAAGTACAATAACAACATTGGAAAACCAAGCACTCCTCACTGGACAGCAGCAGTTTGCAAAGGCAGTTCCTCAGGGCTCACTTGAGGCACATCTGGGGACAAAAGGCTTTTCATGGCAACAAAAGCCACAGCCAGGCTGAAGCACCAAAGTGTTTTTCAGAGGAGGAGCTTGAAGAGCTTTCAGTGTAATACTCTGTACCCCTATTCCTGGAGAAGCTGTCCCATTTCCAGAGCACACAGCCTGAGGCACTCATGCACCAGAGATAGATCGAGTGGCACAGGACTGGAGGGCTTTGAGCAGCTGCAGGTAGTTGTTTAATCTCTTGTGTCAAGTAATCTTAATAACAGGTATGGCTGCTGATCCAGTCAATTATAGAAATTGTCCTGCTGCCTTTCCTGGGCTCTCAGGGAGGCAGAGCTATTGATACCCACATTGTGACTGCGAGTGCAGTGCTGTGGCTGTCTTAGCTCACCCAAACAGGGAGGGACTGATCTGTTTCTGCTTCTCTGCCTTTCCTCTGTGGCACACTCTAGTCAGAGTCTTGGATTTTCTTGCCCCTCCTCTAAATCTGTGAGGATGCATTTAAATTTTAATATTCAGAGCCCCAGTGATGTAAATAGCGCTAAGATAAGTGTTGCCCTGTTTGAAATTCCCTGCTGGGTCCACCTGTCATGCTTTGTCTGATGTTGGGATAATAAGCTCTGTGGGACAGTAAATGCCTCCCTCACCCATCCCCACAGCCCTTTAGGGCTGCTGCTTTTTGGAGGAGCAACATGTCATGGGACAAACACCAAACTCCCCTGGCTGAGAGTTTGCAGGGACGCGGAGCAAGCCTGGCTCAAACTCACAGATCAAAATAAGTTTGTGGCTCTTAAGAGAATAAATCATTTTCTAACCTGAAACAGTCTTGTCCCTAACACTTATGAGAAGACTCACCATTATTATAAATATAGATTTACTTGCAAATTTTTTTTGTCAGAAAATAAAGTGTTTGTGTTTTCAGTGTGTGTCACTAATTGGCCTGTGACAAGTTGGACATATTTAGCTTGGCAGAATTGTTCTTCTGGGTTTGGATATTTGGGTTGCTTTGGTTATTTTAGTTGCCAGGGCTTTCTTGGTTTTTCGCAATTTTCAACCCCATATATTGGTATGTGTTTTTTTGCTGTGAAGTTATGTGAGCTCCAAGCGAACCATGGAATGCATCAGGCTGTCTCCCTGTCCCTGCTGGCTCATGTGTTTACCATTAAAGCTCCGTTTCTGGGCTTTTTCACAGCAGTTCAGCTGTCTGCAGGAGCTGGTAGTTAAAGCATGGCAAGCTGCAGATAATTCTTTAGGCTCAGCCTCTGTTTCCACTGCCTTTGATCACCATACATTCGACTTTCAAATATTATTTATAAATCATTTTTTCACATGCTACTTTTGATTTTTGTAGATGTGCCTTCCCACACAATAGAGACAATGAGTGATTCCTTATTGTAGTTCCTTAGCATGTAAACATTGTGTTACTCTAAACTCTGATCAAATTGGAACTGGAAGTGCAGGTAAGAATAGAAAGACATGGATCCCACTACAAAGACATTGCAGTTAGAGTGTAAAAATGACATGGAAAAGGTGGAGAAGACAGCTGTCAAATACAGCATGTTCATGTATATACAAATGCACTTAGAGAGAGAGATACCCTTGTTTATTCCTGCAGTTTAATTTAACATCATAGTAAAAAAAAATTACAATAGGAAGATCAATGTATAAAAGAATTTGAACCATGTGGCAGAACTTGTCTTCCTGATAAAAAAGAAAAGCAGCCAGAGATTGAAAGAGTGGGAATATTGGTATTTTTTAATGCGTAGCTGTTAAAAGAAATTATTCAGCCTTTTTCCAAATAAAGTAGGAATTTTTATGACTTATCCCTCTCTATGATTTTAATGAGAATGGGTTGAGTATCAGTAGAGTTGCAGAAACCTCCTCCACACAAATGTGGTGAAGCTTCTAAGATCTCTGTGGTCTGGAACTTGTACACCCAGTGTGGGCTGGGGAGAGCAGCTCTATGAAACAAGGAAAGGGAATTTCTCTGAGGTTGTATTCTTGCCTCAGACCTTACTTCCAGTTGGTAAATAATATACATTTTTCTGGGGCACATTTTGACGATAATCCCGTTTTCTGTTGCAGATAGAGTTTTTTGTTAACCTGAGAATTCAAGTCTGTTTGTGTGGTGACAATGGGAAGTGGGTTGGGAGGAATTGCTCTTGCTGTATTACTTCCCCTCCAAAAAGGTCTCAAAATGAAACCAGTTGCTAAATTGGTGACCTACAAGCTCTGCTGATTTGCATGCACTTCTGAGCATGGGTGTGAGAGGGAGGAAGCCCCCGCTCCTGCACATCACTTATTTTCGGTGTCATCCTGAACTTTGATATATGCATCCCTTACTTGCATTGATGGCTCTGGTTTTGGGGCTTTTTGTGCTAATTTTTGTAAAAATCCAAGACTGAAGTTTGTTTTCAAGAATGGCTTCTGGGTGGGTACCTCTGAGTGATTGTCAGACCCACCAGGTCTAAGAAGTATAATATTAATGTTGAGGGAGCAGGTCCAAATCCACCAATAATGTGGTGTTTTATTGGAGTGTTCATATGTGAGTTTGCTTACTGTTATGCCAGCTGCAAGGACTGTCACCTAAGAGGGAATTAGGATGACTTAATGGCACTGAAGAGGCTTCGGATAAAGGGGTTTTTTGTGCCTTCATTTGTACCAGCAGTTGCTCAGGTAACTGAGAATCAGTGGATGAATATTCCCAGACAACACAGGTTAAAATCATGCACATTGTCCACATGTCCATGAAAATGGGATGAAACGGGAAAGGATAACTGAAGAAGCTGAGGGCACCAGAAACATGTGTGAAATGTCCTTTCTGCCTGTTCTGACAAACAGAAACTACAGGTTTGCTTCTCCCTTTACACAAAAATTTCAATGCAACCACGACTAGATTGTTTAACATAATCTGCATGAGTTTGGGTATCATTAGGTAGGGTGGGTGAACATCTTCTTGCCTAAAAATCACAGGCCTGAAAAGCCATGAAAATCAAGTAGCTCCAGAAACAGCCAACTGATGAAATGTTGCCTCTTCCTAAAAGCAGTGAGAAAAGGCAGCTGAGATTGGGAATGGGCGGTGGCCCCAGAGTCTTAGAGAAATGCTGAAAACCTAGAATTGCCTTGGCTCAATCTGCTTGGGATCTGAAGTTATAGCCCAGGGGTTTATCTGCTTGTTCCTGCCTTCCTCTGTGACCAAATTCTGTGTGTGCATGGCTGGATCCTTTTCACCTTTTCCATTTAGGTTAGACTGCTCCTGGTAACTTTTCTGGTAATGTTTTGGCTTGCTTTTGAGAAAGGCTTTTTCCAAACAAAAACCATCTGTAATTAAAAAGCCAAGTTGTCCCTGATTATAGGTAATTCCTCTGCCATTCTCCTGTGAGCCAGTTTGGGGTTTATATACATGTGCCCTGGACATGGTACACTTTTTATAGGCACATCATTTCCTTTTTTTCTTTAGATAGTGGGAGTAAGTGAATCAGCAGTTTAAAGCTCAAGTATTTAACTTGTGCTCCTCTATGACAGTCCCATTGCTGTTCCCAGTGCTGATCTGCAGGATCTGGCTGTTCCGGGTGTGTCTGAATGGCAGGGCTTCTGGAAATCTTTGTTTTTCTTTGCCTTTGAGGCTGTGGGTGGGTGTTGACTTCTTGTTCACTTTTTCTGAAATGGGAAATGCTCTTTATTTAAGAAAAAAAAAGAAAAAAAATTAGGTAGTTGTGCTTATTTGTCTGCTCTGCTTTCTATGCTTGTTCAGTAACATCAGTTCCCCTGGGAGGCGTTCCAGCCACCAGGACATGGTGTGCATTTGGACTGCTTGTCTGGGGAGATGAGTTAGGTCTCCTTCTGAAGGTGGTGTGGACACCTCAGAACCTGGGAACATCAGCTAGGGAACGTTTTTCATGGGTTTTTTTATTCATCTTTTCAAAGTTAGTTAATATTCCAACAAATGTCAGTTCTGTGGAGCTGTTGAGCTTCTCTAAAATTCAGGCTTGGTGCAGCAGACAAATCCTGCTGTCTCTGCTTGGCCAGTATCATAACATAACACAACTTTGAGAAGGCTTTGCCTCCTTTTCTGCCTCTTGTCAGATAGTTGTTCAGCTAAGGAAAGAGACCACTTCATTTAGCAATTCCAGTTCTGAAGTGTAAGTAGCATTTTTGGTGTCTGCTCATCTGAGAAAATCATAGTTTTTAATTTCTAGAATTTTGATCCCTTTAAACACAAAGATGTGAAACAGATGAATGGGGCCATATGAGTAAGTCAACACACATAAAAATAGAGTGAATTAATAAAGCAAATTGACTTGGTTGTTGTATGGATGTGAGAAGATAGATGTGCCTGTTTTTCATGGGGAAGTCTTGGTGGCAGTGGTGACACCAAATGAAGCTGAA